CCTCCGTCAGCTTCACACTGGGATCAGCGGGTGTACCAACCGGGTGTGCATCAAGATGAGAGAAGCGATCCAGGACTTTGGTAGCGTACTTCTCTTGGTGAATGAAAATGGTTCGGTCCGTACGGTTGCGTACGATTGACCAGCCTAAGATGTATTGAGCTTCACCGAGATCAGACATTATGAAGCGCTGCTTTAAGGCGTTCTTTATGTTGTTAATGATATCAAGCGTAGGGGCTATGATGAGGAGGTCGTCCACATAGACTAAAATGTAGCATGTAGCTCCATCCACAACTCCAATGAAAACGCATTGGTCTTTAATGAGTTTGTGGAATTTCATGGTGAGAAGAAAAGAGCACAGGGTTAGATACCAGATCCGAGGTGCCTGCTTGAGACCATATAGGCTCTTCAAAAGCTTGCAGACTAAGTGCTCTTTTCCACGAACAGTAAACCCTTCAGGTTGCAGCATGTAAATTTCCTCATCGAGGTATCCGTTCAGGAAAGCGGTTTTAACATCCATTTGATGGATCTCAAGGTCAAGGAGTGCTGCAATCGTCAGTAAAAGTCGCAGCACTTCCATGCGGATCACTGGAGAGAATATCTCATCGTAGTCAACGCCATACTTTTGCAAAAAACCTTTTATTACCAGGCGAGCTTTATAGCGGTCATTACTGCCGTCTCCATTGTATTTTACAACGAATACCCATCGACACTGTAGGGCCCTTCTCCCTGTCGGTAGTTTTGTGAGGACCCACGTTTTGTTGTCAATCAATGATTTGTATTCACAAATGGCTGCCTTCTCCCAGTGTTGTGCTTCTGGTAGTTTCTGGGATTCTAGGAACGTCTTTAGTTCAGATATGTGTCTGATAGCCAATAGAGCGTAGATATGAGTGAGGTGCTCTTTTCGTTCGTTAATGTCGAGTGGATCATCAAGTAGACACGAGTGTTCATCCTCGTTCTGAGCGTTCGTTTTGTGTTTGACTTTCTTCATCTTTACTACTACTTCCGCGGCAAGCGCATTGACGCTGCGTTTTAGTAGTGAGGCTATTGGAGGTAGCAATTGTGGTGTTGGTAGCGACGGTGATAGCGTCGGTGCGGGGCCATTTTGGTCCGAGATTGCGGGTGTATTGAGGAATTCCAAGTGTGGGAACTCGTCTTCTCGAAACACAACATCCCTGCTGTAGATAACACGGTTTTCTTTCGTGTCAAGGAGTCTATATCCCTTTTTGTTTGATGGGAGTCCTAAGTACATGCACTTCTTAGCACGTGGTTCTAGTTTTGTGCGGTGTATCTCAGGGATGTGAGCGTACGCAGTACACCCAAACACTTTGATGTAGTGCGCGGATGGTTTTCGCTTGAACCATTTCTCGTATGGGGTGACCTTATCGGTTACCGAGCTGGGAGTAATGTTCAGAAGGTCAGCAACGTGCTTGACGCATTCTCCCCAAAGAACCTGCGGTAGGTTACCATCAATGAGGAAAGCCCTATTTTGTTCGAGTAGTGTACGCATGCGCCTCTCTGCAACTTTATTTTGCTGGGGCGTGTACGCATTCGTAAATTGTGCGTGCGTATTGTACTTCTGAAAAATCATTTTTCCAAGTTTCTCATATTCTCGCTTTGAAGATGTCTAACTTCTTCATCGTGTATGCTCTCATTGAACTGGAGTTCGCCTACACCAGCGCGAAAAACGTTTTGTGCTTTCTTGCGAAAATCTTCATAGCATTCGTACAGCTCAGACTTTCGCTTGATGATGTAGATGAACATGTACCGTGAGTAGTCATCTATAAAGGTCAGAAAATATTGACACCCCGAGAGTGTGGGGACGGGTAATGGACCAGCCATATCAGAATGAGCTTTTTCAAGAGGGAACTTCGCCCGTTCAACGGTACGTTTATTGAATGGGTTACGATGGGCCTTGGCGTATGTGCAGGAAGAGCAAAAGTAGTCTTTCTTGGAATCAAAGTCCTTCAGGCTCATGTCCATGACAGTGTTGGCTTTAGCCAGATCCTGCATAATGCGAAAGTTAGGATGACCCATTCGTTTATGCCAAAGTAAAACATTATCAGGCTTACCTGAAGTGACCACATGGGCTACCTGACTTGAGGTTGCCGGGCTCGCTTGAAACTGGTAGAGTCGAGTCCCTTCACCAATTTTGGCTTCAAATTTGGTTCGGCTAGCGAAGAACAGAACGCACTTCTTTGCGTTGGGGAAGTTGATTTTGAAATCATCTTCGACGGCTTGGCGCACGGAGAGTAGGTTGAACTTCAGCTGGGGCGCTTATAGCACGTTGGCCAAAGATATTTCTCGTTCCTTTCCCTTCGTGTCCTTGATTGTCATCTTGACATCACCAGTTCCTTTTATCGGAATCTGGTGATTGTCGCCGACAGTGATTGACTTGCCAGCACTTGGAATCAGCTTCTCAAACCACTTCGGATTGGACGTAGCGTGGCGAGTGCAGCCTGAGTCGACAGTCCACACTGGGTCATGCTCCGCATCTTGGGCGGTGAGACTTACAGCCTCTGTTTCTTGTCTGAGGTCCAGAGTGGTGATGGCTATGATTCCATACTCGTTGTCGGAGTCGGTGTCCTTGCGGCGACCGTGATATTTATTGTGACTCTTGGATTTTCCAGATGTATTCTTCTGGTTGCCGTTCTGGCTTCTGTTTCGATTGCTGTTCCGCTTGCTCTTGTAGTCATTCCGATTTTGGTTTCGTGACTTGCCGCCGAAACCGTCCTTGTAAGGATGCTGTCGAGCTTGATTGGACGAAGGTTTCAGCTTTAAGTTTGGCGGGAAGCACCGTTCCTGCCTTTACCTGACCATTTTGTAGGTGGCGCTGTAGAACATAGCAGTCGACAGTATCGTGGTTGGTGCGCAGGCAGTGTGTACAGCTCATCGTTGAGATGAGAGCCTTGCTCTCTTGATAGGGAGCTTGAGCCAAGGTTGGTTCAGGTGCTAAAGCCTGTAGGGCCTGCTCGTTTCCGGTTTCCCTCGATTCGGGTGCTCCTTGTTTGAGCGTGTAGCGGTTTTTCGCCAGTTCATGCTGCACCTTGGCCTCGATGTGACGCTTTAGCTCTTCGTAGGGAATGAATTTCCCGCTACCCTTCCAGACCGATAGTTGCTGCTTCCATTTTACAGGTAGCGCATGGTACAAGTAGAGTGACTTCTGTTCGTCACTGAGCACACTGTTTGTGGCATCGGAGGCAACCTTCATGGCAGATTCGATGTCAATTATGAACCCCGTAAGGTCTGAACCTTCTTCATACCTCAGTGCCATCAGGTATGATAGCACATGATACGGGCCGCCGTGGATGGCAGCACCTTCGTACTTGCTACAGATCGTCTGAAAGATCTCAAACGCAGTAGTCTTGTCCTTGACCATGAGAACATGTTGGTCATCGATGGTCTTGATAAGGAAAGCTTTTGCTTTTGCCTCGTTGAGTCGAAGCTTTTTCGAGCTCAGCCTCTGGCTTTTAGCCTTCAGCTTCTCTGCTCGCTTCAGTTCATCCCGCTTCTGAGCAGTGAATGACTGGATAACGGGGGGATTCTCCTGCCCCATTTCCACATCGCCGTCGTCTCCGGCTGTGGGTGCATCCGAACTTGCGGAGCTGGCATCAGAGGAGGACTCGCTCGGTGAGGAGCCCACCATTTCGTCGGCCTTGGGAGCACCGGCAGCATCAAGCGCGGCGGACATGTCGTTCATGTCGGACAGTGCCGGGTTGAGTTCTTCATCGGAGTCGAACTCGTAGTCGGAGTCACCGGTGTAGTCGATACGCTCGACGTAGCCGAGAAGGTTCTTTCCTTCGAGGGCGGCAGTGACGCGGGTCTTCCAGATGATGAAGTTCCGGCCATTGAGGCGCGGAAACTCGCGGTCGTCAGCGGTGGAGGCTTGCGTTGGGCTCATAACCTATTGAAGGTGAGGCGAGGAAGGTGGAGGAGCTTGAGTAGAAGGAAGAAAAAAGAGATGTGATTGAATTTTATGAGTCTGTCTTCAGAGAGTTTCCTGGCACCATTGATTTATCTTTCCTGTAAAAGGTGATGTATCGACTTATGCAGGATTGGGTCCAGAACATATTTTGTATGGTAAGACATTTTGTACAATAACTTGTACGCTATGTCACCAATTAGGACACATCATTGACACATCCTATTTTTTGTGTTCGCTAAAAAATATAGAGTGCTTTGGATGGCTCTCTAGCGGGATGGGATGCCTGCGATTTCGCGAATCCGCAGGACTTCCAACCCGGTGTTATAGACAGGTGGATCGTGTCGGTGGTGTGTCACACACACTGTGTGCTGCTGTGGAATAGACGATTGGACTTGAGATAAGCCCAAGACCGTGCCACACAACGTCCCAGTGGGACGAGAAGGGGTGTCAACCTTACATGTCATCCCAATATCCCGCAAACTAGATCGCTGATTAGTCCATCCCTCTTTTGGGACGATATAAGACTGAGCCTAACGCCTCTCCCTGCGAGAACGGGTGCAGTACAGAACGCTACTGCGACATTCGCATTACATTAAAAATACAGACAGTACATTTTCTTTTAATACCGGTACGGATGCACCAGTACGTTTTATTAATAGAGAGAGCAAGTTCGAATCGAGCTTCGATGAACATGTATTTGTGATGAAAAAGGACGCAATAATTACATAAAGACTCTTTATTGTTTACGCCTCTTTATTAAAGAGGCGTAAACAGTTTTAAAAACAGCTTTCAGATACGGTGTTAAGCAGATTTTATTTTTTGAAATCTGTCAGTGGAATTTGGAAGCATTGCCTCTACTCCTGAACATGTCCACAAACTGGAAGTCGTGAGCTCTGGTTTTGGCGATGAGGCCAAGAGAAAGTGAGCCGAAGATCTTATCCGAAGATTACCAGATGGTATTGCAGTACACCTATTGCAGGTACCGGTACATGTACATATTTTCACTACAGTAAGACAGGTGTCACATTAATTACTGAGGGGTGCCTCACTCCGCAATTGGACATCTCGAGTAATCACCATGACTATCAAGCCCAAGCGCAAGTTGTTTTTTTATCAAGTACTGCTGGTGACTGTAGCTCTATTGATCTGTGCCAGTAAGGCATTGACGGCCATCGATTCCAAGAATCTCCCCACCCTCGACAGAATCAGAGCCGACCGGCGATTGAGGGCGACGGTAGATGGTTACGACTACAACTACGAGTCCGAAGACAGAGCCTTTACCGGCATTACGAAGCTAAAAGAATTTGCTCAGGCTGGGACGAAGAAGCTGCAGAAGGCCGTTGATACTGCCAAGACGAAGCTGACGTCCAAGCCCACTATTGACCAGCGCTTTAAGCAGTTCAAAGTCGATCAAGTCGAGTCCAACGTTTTCGAAAGCATGCAATTTAATGCCTGGGCCAAGTCTGTTGCAAAAACGACCAAGAACAACCAGGACGCCACCGACGCTGCAATGCTCGCGACGTTGGCGACTCATTACGGCGATGAGACTCTTGCCCGTATGCTAGATGCCGCAAAACAGGTGTCAAGTACAAAATCGACGGCCACTAGACTGGAAAATGCGCAGATAAGCAAGTGGGTGGATGACGGGGACGCACAACTCAACAAATGGCTTGCTGATGGAGTAAGTGCGGACAGCGTTTATAAGCTTCTGCGGATTGATGCTGAAGGCAGTAATCTACTGAAAAGCCCCAAGGTGAACATGTGGATGAGCTACCTGACAAAGTTGAACAAGGACCCATACGACGTCCTACTTTACAAGGTGAGAGCGCACTATGACGACGTGGGACTAGCGAAAATGTTTGTTCTGTCCAAGAAAGACTCTTCAACAAAAGTGCTGGCCGAGAAGCTCGAGACGCTGCAGCTCGAGAAGTGGATGAACAATAAAAACAGCGCGGCTGACGTCTTCCGGATCCTGAAGTTAAACCAAGAAAGCACGACACTTCTAAAAAATCCAGTGCTAACCACATGGGTCGCATACGTTGAAAAGCTGCAAAAGAATCCCTACGAAATGCTGTTTTCAGCGATCAAGGCAAAGGGCTTCGACGACGTAGAGTTGGCGAGGCTCATCACCGCAGCAAAGCAAGACCTCCATACAGGGACTGTTGTCGCGAAACTGGAGAAAGTGCAGCTCCAGAAATGGGCCACGGATGGGAAGACCAGTGGAGACCTCTTTAAGTACCTCGGACTGTACAAAGCGGGTGACAAGTTTCTTGATAGTCCAGTGCTGAACAATTGGTTCTCTTACATGGAAATGCTGAGGAAGGACCCCTACACGATGCTAGTCCATACAATCAGGAAGTCAGGCTTGGACGAAGTAGACTTGGCGAGGCTTGTTAACAAGGCCAAGCAAGACACCAATTCGAAAACCATGGCTGCGAATGTGGAGAAGATGCAACTTGGTAAATGGTCGGTAGATTCGAAAACCAGCGACGATGTCTTTAAACTCCTTCGACTCGACAAAGAAGGAGACAAGGTGTTCGAGAGCCCAGTGTGGAGCACTTGGACCGCATATCTGAACAAGGTGGAAATTGACCCTGACGCAGATCTGGTCATGTACACAGTACTGAGGAACAAATTTGGTGACGAAGGGTTGGCAAATCTGGTTGCGAAAGCGAAGCAAGTAGCGAACACCAAAGAGACCGCTGAGAAGCTGCAGCTGGAGATTTGGCGGGTCGGTCAGAAAAGCTCAGATGACATTTTCAATCTTCTCAAGTTGAACGAAATGGGTACAAAGCTGTTCGAAAACCCGGGGCCATTAAGGACGTGGATAGCCTATGTGAACAGGGTGAATAGCTTCAAGAGAAATAGAGTGAAGGTGTTCCAGCCGATCATTCAATTGGAGAAACGCTTTGGAGAAGAGGAGCTAGCGGTGCTGTTGGTCAACTCGAAAGCGAAACACTATTTGACCAAGGCTGGTATAGCCGAAGATTTGCAAGAGTGGCAATTCAAGAAATGGATGGTTCACAAGACAAACGTCGATAAGATGTTCCCTTTTGAAGACCATACCAGCATACGAATTAAATGGGAGTACAAGCAGTTCTACAAGGAGAATGCCGATTCATTGATCATTTAGACACGATACAAGGCAAAGTAGTTCTCTTAGCGAAAAGTGGTTCACCGCTAGCTTGACAGTACTTTAGAAAGGATTCCAGGTTCGGATAATAAACTGATACTTCGAAGTACATTCTAGTACAGCAGTAGTAGAAGTACGTACAGTACACGTCTTTACTACGTATAATTTTTCAATTACTACAGTAATACATCAGTTTAGAAGAAGTGTACTTGAAGTAGTATTTTATTAATACCAGGCAGGTATTTCCAGCTAATGCCTGGCTTGTAAAATTTGTGAGAAGAATGTATCAATAATACATAAGCTGGAATCAACTGATGACGGAGACATGAATGTTATGTAAAGAAGAGCGCTCTAGATAACCGTGTATCATTAATATTAAAATAGAGTACACGTCTTAATACTTCTACATTGACAGCTGTATTAGGAGAAGGTCGAAGTGCGTGGTGGCAGTGGGTGTTTAAACGTCTGTTCCTCAAAAGACTGTCTATAATACATGTAGACTTTTTTAATAAAATACTACTTCTGGTACAGCTATACTGGTGTCTGACTATAGACACAGTTGACGTCTAAGCAGTTAATACAGTTTTTACCGGTGTAAAAACTGTATTTACGCGGTGCGTTGCGTAATTATCCTTCATTTTGGTAATTTGATATAATTGAAGTAGCAAAAATGCTCATCCACCCATTCCACTATCCGAAGGCGGCGCCATTTTAATACTACGAAGTATCATATTTACTATTTTAATAATGCATGTTACTTTTAATATTTGAGTGCTATTGCTTCCAATACAGCAAGGTGCTTTGCAGACACGTAGGAAGCGTATTTTCGAATCCATACTTTAAATTTAAGTAATACTTTGTACTCAGTAGTTTCTGCGAGTTACATTGACTAAAATATAACTACTATTGTTTTATTTTAAAATATTAGCACTAATAAGTTATCTGAGTGGGTTTTAACATGTTTTAAAATGAGGTACTGCTAAATCGTACATCAGCAGTAGTAAGAACAATGCTGTGCTACAAGTAATACAGTACGTTGTCACTCGATCCATAAAGATAGATTGAACAAAATGAACCCATATGTGTTACTGCTGTAAACCATTGTTTTCTAAGATAGCAAAATCCGATCCTACTAAGCTGGCGGACGTGGTGCCGACAGGGGCGTAGGATACGATTTGAAATGGAGCGAACAAAACATGAAAGGTGCTAATTATAGCTGGCTAAGTAGATAGTTTTAGATTGAACAAAAAGAACTCATACGTGTTACTGCTGTAAGCCAGAGTTGCTTAGATAGCAAAATCCGATACTACATAATGGGTGGACGTGTCGCCGACAAGGGCGTAGGATACGATTTTAAATTGAGCGGTAAGACAACAACAAAACACGAGAGGTGTTAATTATAGTTGGCTAAGTACATGTAGATTTCATAAAAAAAGCTAATAAATTTGGATCCTAAATGACATTAACCATCCTGGAATCATCGCGTCTTGCGACGCATTAACCAGATGCTTTAATCATAACTGGCACAGATTAGAGTGTCTAATGATTCATTCTAAATCAGCACAAAATGAGCGCTAAATGTATTAAAATGAGCAAAAATTGAATATTTGTTGAGTTTGGTATGAGAAGTGATCAATCTTTAGCTACTTACAAGATTAAACATGCAGTACAAGCGGGTAAGTAGTGCAAGCTGACACGCCATTACTATCTTTTGCGCTGATGTGAGCTAAGTTTCATGGCTCAGAAAGTACGACGCTAAACTAAACATATTGTGTAGCTTTTCTTATAAATGTATTTGGAGTGCAGTGGTTTAGGGTGGAAGATGAAGATACAATGATAGCCAACAATGATAAAGAGGTTGTAGTAAGAAGCTTGAATCAGGATCATTAGAATAATTATGCTTAATCAGGTAAGCATGATGCTGACCCAGATTACTTTATGAAATTAAAAATATCGAGGCGGCATAGGGGGCCTAACTTTTGTAATACTTATCCCGCCGAAGCGTAGCGGAGGCGGGAAGGCCACAACAAGTCTAACTAAACCTAAACTACCGCTGCGTAGCGGCGGGTAGCAGTGTACAACATCCAATATTTAGAGTTATTAAAACAGCATTAAATTGCGTGTGCACCACACACGGGTGTGTTTCTTACACTAAACCGTGTGGAACACATTTTTTCACACTTAGCAAATATTTCAAAGATCCAACATCGCAGCAAGGATGGACGGAATGTCGCTCGCTCGGGAGCTGGTGCGCGCGCCCATCTACGAGCTCATGGACATGGAGAACACGCTAGAAAAGATCGCGCAAGCCTCGAGAAGATACTAATAGCTCAGATGGAGTTACTGTCACGCATTGAGGTGAGCGAGGAGAGCATCTACGTGCTGGCGTCTGAGATTGCCAACGCTGGTGCGAGTCATGACGCCCACCTATTCTTCGGAGTTTTGCTAGAAATGGCAATTAACTGATTGGATTGGTAGTACAGTAGTATGCTAACGGTTTTGTATTAACGGATAGCGCAGCTACAGCTACCTACTTCAGTTGCTTGAGCAGTTTCTCATGAATAGACTTCGTCTTCTCTGCAGTGCGACGGGCCATACGGCTCTTTCTCGATTTACAGAGCATTTGCAGCGGGGTGCCGTAGCTTTAGCGTCAGAGGAAGACGTTCGACTCAAAGAGTCACTAATACTAAGTTCCTTATCCAAAGGAACTTACAGCCCACGACCAGGGCTCAAAGTTAATACCTTAACTTGTATGCTTCAAAACCAGAAGTGTTTTATGTACTATTATTGCGGCCAAGCCGCCTAGGGGTAAATGTGTCTGTTTAACTATCTAGCATAGTTAAGCCTAATCAAATGCATAACGTGTGGCTTTCAGCTAACGTACTGAGAGACTATGTTAACTTTCCGCCTTATCTACTTAGATTTTGTTAACGCTACGGGAACTCCGTACCCCTGTGTGTATCACACCATGTAACCCCGCTACAGTATTAACCACAGCATTCGGAGGCGCATAGCTTCCAAATCCCGCTCGGAAATGTTTCTGCATTGCCAGCGAAGATTCACGGTCACATAGCTGTAAGGCTGGGCCACAACAAACACGCCACAGCTTGAGTAGTCGGGCTGCTGTGGAACTTCAATCCACTCAATAGGGCTCATGCATACTTTGACCACAGGTGCCGATGCCTTACGTCATCTCGCCACAAAATCACAAAGCCCTTCCATAACTGAGCTACCATCGCCGTCCTTAACACCGTTCCGCACCACCTTCATGTCCCCATGATAACCTTCGTCAAACAGGGGCTCATACAGGTAGGGATGCACATGTAATGTGTCCTTGGCTTCGACGTAGCGTAACGTAGCTATTACGACCCCCCCGTGGCTTTGGTTCAGGTTGACAGGCTGAATCATGGACTTGGTAGAAGTGATAGACTTGTTTGGTGTCTTTGGCCATCCGACAGCTGCCGACAGGACGTAGCAATCCCGCACCGTGCTTCCAATGGTTTCCAAACAGAAGTCAATTGGGCTGTCATTCAGCCATCCTCTACAGAGTCCACCCACAACGTTTTCGAAGGCGATGCAGGCCTTACCCGACCGTGTCGTGTATTCAGAACTCGGTCGACTGGATGCAACCTTTGAAATCACTTCGTTTGTCATGGTGTAATATCGCTCCTTTACAGCACCAACGGATAGCCCACTCGCCTTCACAGCAAATAGATCCACATCGGAGTTTACCTTCCGCCAGTTTTTCTCCAACCATTTCCGGTCTTCGAACCATGCTTGTACTTTGGTCTTAACCGCGTAGAATGTAATTGCAGCCCCCACGTATTGTCTAGTGCAAATCACAGCTCACAGTTATAGCAACCACAGTATGACGACCATAAAAAGCAACCATACGTGAATGACAACCTTACCCGTTGAGCTTCCAATGTGTGGTGTCGAAAGAAGCTACGAGATCGAGCATGATTTCTTGTTTCTTGATGCGGTCGTCGAGTGGATTTAGGTGACGTTGCTCGCCTTGGCTGTCTTGATTGAAGCTTTTATTGACCGCGTGATGTCTTCTGGGATTACAAATTGGTGCATGTACGTTGTCGATCGTACAGCTTCCCGGCTGCATTCGATTGTGCGAGCCCTGAGGTACGCATCATCTAAATGGACAGGATGTTTGTCTATAATGCCCGCCACAGCTCTTACTTTCTCTGTGTTGCGTGCCCACACGACAAGCTCGTCAAGCTGTACGGTGAGATCGCTAGAGTATTTGTGCACGATGAGACGAGTATGAGCTGAGGTAAGATTTGTCTGTCTTAGCTGCTTCGGATTGGATCGTTGCCTCCCTCGAGACCTCGGCTTTGGGACGTTTATGAAACCCACTTGCCGGAGCCCATACCCTGGCAGCTCATCTGATCTTCTCTTGTGCTACCATCAAGCACATCGGCAGAGGGTGTAGCAGCCAAGTCGTTGGTACTACGCGCCGCCTGTGCACTCGGCCAGGGGGCAACGTGGCGATGCCGGGCATGGCCGCGTGCAATAAAACAAACGTACAGAACCAGTAGGCGCGGGGCGCCCTACTGATATTGCAGTCGCGCGTGTCTACAACAGCCACGCGACACGGAGGCCTGCAGCCCCCAGCGGGAGAGATTCTCGATGCAAAAAGCAATATGACTAGCCAAATCTTGTCACCCTGAAAGTGTCGTCGAAGAGAGCAGACTCTTTGGTTGACAAGGTCCGACTGGCAAGAGGTGCCACCGTAAGAACGGAGAAGCACGTACTACGCGTTTGCTACGCATACAAACTCAGGGTGTTTGTGGAAGATCTTATCGTCCTGGATCTGGACAATAAGTTTGACTTGGTATTGGGCATGCTGTGGGTTGCACGGCATGATCCAGTGATTAACTGGGGGAAGCGTACAGTTGTACACTTCGGACACAATGCGATAGAGAGCGATGGCCCTGTCAGTGTCGCGCATGCACCGCGAGGTGCATCCGAACCCACCGTCGAGGCAG